TTGAACTATTACACCAGTTGGTGTTATACTGTGCGATAAGCGAATATTATTGGAAGGAGGGCTTCCACACATTTCTCCTTTCTTATTGGAAGGAGGGCTTCCACACACCTTTGGAAGGAGGGCATGCACACATTTCTCCACTTCGTCGTAAGTTTGCAAAGCATATTTTATACTTTGGGACCGATCTTTGTCATTGATGTAAACATTTATTCTTATAGTTTAAGGTTATGTAAGATTGATCCTGTCGTAAATATTCTACCAGCAACCAATCGACAATATTTCGTTTTAGCGTTGTCTTTGCCATTACGTTGGCTTCATGTTACTTTGGCCAGTGACATAACCAAAAGTTTCGCATTAATGTTCTTGTGATTTTATAGAGATATCCTAGGACTGAGGATTCTAGAAAGCGTTATCTGTACTTTCTGAAAGTTGTAGACAAGATATGTTGTTTACGTCCAACACGCGTAAGATTGCAAAACTCAAAATGATTCGAGCAAAACCGGTGCTTTGTTAAAAGGAAGACTGGTTAATGGATATTGGTCCTTTTAAGTAACATAATCGTGTATCGTCATCGATCCGTATCGTTCAACAATGAAAAATTTGTCGTAAAATTATTGAATATAAAATAGCATTTTGTGAGAAAACTGCCGGTCTATACGGAGAGGGAACTTTTCCGATTTGAACTCAGCATGCTTGAAAGCGTTAGTTCCCGTCGAAATATTTCAGATCTAATATATGCTTAATAAAAGTGATCGATTTCGGGTCACAACACACAGACTATAGGCGAAAAACAACCGAAATCGGACTCGGAATATGTCTTCCCAATATATATATATATATATATATATATATATATATATGTTTAAATACTAGAAGTTACTATCACAACGAAAGTGCCGCCTCACTCCCAAGGGATCAAACACAGCATGCGCAATTTGCTGAATAAGAGGCTGTTTTTATGATCTTGCTTTGTTAGGACGAAATATGCAACCTCGTAACCACGGTTTTAACGCCGCTCCCCTCCCGCTGTTAAATACCCTGGACCAGGCTGGTCACGTGACACTTTAATTTGCTATGTCCCTTGG